TATTTCCCATTGAAATGCAAGCAAACAACCAAATAAAGGAAGTATTTATTTTCTTCCTGTCACATGAGACTGTCAACTTTTGCTGAACTTTGTCAGCACAGAGAAGGCAACCCCCCCCCCCAAAGAAAGGTAATTTTCATTTTACTAATAAGTATTTTTGATTGACATGCATCTGCATAATCATGAAGGTCTCTAGAATCACCCAAACAAAACAAATCTTACAAGAGATCTATAGTTTGTATACTTAGTCCAAGCGGCAACTTGCTGGTGGGCAAATGCCTATATCACTGGGAAAAGTGGTATAGGTTAATAAATCAAGTTCATTGGTCCTTTAACTGCCCCATTTTTTGCATTTCTTATCTCCTTATGCTGCTAGTCACCACACTCAATGTATTTTTTTTAACACATCCCAAAATGTTTTAAATATCGGCCTCTACCAAATGGTTGATGTCACTTAAAGGTAAAGAAAACAAAGAATTCATACACGTATTATGAAAATCAGAAAATATGAACTATAATACTAATTTATTTAAAAACCATCAAAATAAAATATGTTTGTATACTGAATCTTCTTTGTCCTCTATTGAATCTCTACTGAATCTCCTCTATTGATATACCATTAAATATTTCAGGTTTTCATTTTAACACAGGAAATTATGTTTTCTTGTTTTTTAACAATAAGCAAAAATAAATAACACAAATAATTATAAGCAACAAAACCAAAGATATTATATTCTTTTTGCATTCAAAAAGTTACCAAGTAACATAATTTTGTAAAGTTAGGGTTCTTACAGTGTAAGATGTCAAAAAAAAATGCTTACCTTGCAAAATTTCACCAAGAACAGTTCAAATGGCAGGAGTGATTTGTTTGTTTCTAACATCCATGTTAGAAGAATTGTTGTGACAAGTGCTGTTGATTGACACTGTGACATCTAGTGGATTTTTTTGAGAAGCGTCTCACTGCAGCCAGCGGTGGACATCCAACCCGGCCCACATCCAAGTGTGATGTCAGAAGCCACACCCATGTCCATAGGTCATGTCAATCACAGTACTGGTTGCCTACACCAAACACTGATCCCTAAATCCATCACTGTAACCTAACACCTAAAACCCTTTTGATAGAACCTATACTCAACCCCACCTATATAACCTACCCTACCTATTGGACATGGGAGTGGCTTCTGACATCACACTTGGAAGTGGGCAGGGTTGGATGTCCATCTTAGGATGCAGAGAGCCCTACTTGGATTTTTTTTTTTTTTTTTTTTGCCATAACATTTCTCAACCAGATTGTAGTTGCTATGGGGGGATGGGGTTTCCAGTTTTCAAGTGACAGCCACAGTTTCCAAACTTCAGTCAGTCACAAAAAGTATGAAAGATAAAGAGTTAAAGCATTGGATTATTTGCTGTAGATCTTTTTCTCCCTTTTATGATATTATGTCTTCTAGGCTACAAAATATTGAGGCCACTTCATCCAGTTTGGATTATTGTGTGAGATCAGTCAAGGACCATAATTATTTTTTGTCAAGGACTCTAATTCCTTTTTTGACTATTCCATTATAATGTTGAAATTCAGACAAGAAATGAGTTTACTTTTACATTATTACATGAAATCACCTGTACTACAGTCAGCCATTTAATACAAGGGGCCTAAATCATACCATACACAGGTACCCACACTCGCAGAAGTATAAATTGGGCTTAAGTGTGTAGTGCTTTCTGTGTTGCATGCTTCGACTGGTGTTGGTTGCTGTCTCCTGTTTCCGTCTCCACAGGGGTCTCCTGAGCAGGGGTTTTACATTGGCTGATCCGACCTTCCTAGACTGAGATAACTCCACCAATCATGTATCGCAGTACTTTTAAGATCTTTTGTGCTAAAATATAATTCATTTGAAACACATTTACATATCTGCCTCTTGTCGACTGTCCCTTTGCGGGGAAAAGCATAGAATTAGCCACACTATACGGGAAGATTTGTGGTTCCTTCTGCCCATCATCAGGGGGTGGCGTAGTCAGACTAAAAAGAAGGTATACTCAAAGCCGGTACCACATAATGTGTTTATGAATAAAGACTGATCTGTGGAAAGCAGTAATTTTGAGTTAGATGCCAAATGTTCTCCTCCTATTCAAATTTGACATTGAAGGGGCGCATACAACTTTTTCCCACCGGCAATTATAGTTGGCGCACATTCAAATATGATTTTCAAGAAAAGAAAAAGAGGGGAAAATAAATGCAGAACATGTTGACAGAGGATTCCATTAACATAACTGTATGCATGAAACCATTTAGAAAATTTGGGCACAAATAGGGTTTAACATGGACTGAAAATAGCTTGCTAACATTAAGCGTGGGGCTGCTGCTTGGTATATAGTTTTCAAGAACATTATAAAAATTGATAAACTATTTAGCCTGTGGCTACGAAAACCATGCAAAACCAAAACTTAACATGAATAGTAAAATAACAAAAACATAAAAATTATAGCAATTAATGCAATTAAGTGATGGAAAGCTGGCAGCCTGCATGTTTCTTACCTTGATCGTGTGGTTATGATAGAGATTATCAAAATGTGGTTCCTGTACATGTGTTTGTATGAGTTTGTGGTTTTTGAACATCCATGAACTGTTAAATAAAAAAGACATAAAAAGCACTGACTTGGAGTATTTTTCATTCACTGATGGTTCTAGGTTTACACTGCTGGTGTTGGAAATGTAAATAATAAAGTACCAGCTTTAGAGTACATTTGAACTCTCCAGGTGTTCAAATGTAACTATATTTTGAGAGTAAATATTTTACACTTTTTACAGTGTTCACTGAACACCGAACTCTTGGACAATGAAACCACTGATTTTTGCTGTGGATCAATTTTCTGTTCAGATCTCAACAGAGCTGCGTTCAGCCCCAACACAAAAGTTGCAAAATGTTTTTTAAACTTGCTGCGTTGAACACCTTGTTCTAATGACACAAGAGTTGCAACTATGGCTGCTGAGATGGCCTTTCTTTGTGTTCTTTTTGAAGAGTTTTCACAGCCTGCTGAAATCCGAATAAAAACGTTTTTGATTCTGCAAAATACTCTGTTACACTGCCCTTGCCGTCCAGAATAAAACAGAACATCCCAATCGAGTGTAGGGATTTGTAGAAACTTTCCTTACTATTGTGATCCAAAATGTGCCTTGCATTTCAGGATGAAAAGACAAACATGTCTTGTAATACATTCAATTATACCGAGCTGCAGTGGACACATTTGTAAAAAAAACTTTACTTGGACCCATTGTGTGAGCGGTAGCGCATGGTTTATATACATGTTGCTGCTGATTTGGCTGAGAACAGAAATCTTCTCAAACCCCTGTGCTCACCATTTCCAGGAAGCGTCGTTCAACCCGGAAATCGTAGCAAAACGTTGTGCACCGGTTTGAGCTTGAACTGGGCAAGGCACCGATCAGAGGCCACAATTTTATGTCATCATGTAGACTTCTTACAAAGTATTTTAAAACTAAAATAGTAAAGTATTTTGATATTAAATATGAAGCCATTTTTATCAACCCATATCAAATACAAATTACAAAATACTATTTTATATTTGAAATCTGTATTTGAAATACATGTAGGCCTATCATAAATACGGCCAATCTCTGACAACGATTAGGCTCTCTGTGCAGGTTACAACTCCATAATGCATGATGGAAAGCAATGGATTGACATTGACTATATGTGAGTTAAATTGTTGATTAGCTGGGCATACGGGTCAATATGTAGCTTATGCACATCCCGAACCCTCAGTAATAATAATCAAGTATTGCTCTAACTAATTATAAAACACAGTTACATGATACAACTAGGCATTTTTGGCAATGCTATTGCAACTTTAGTGTTATATTTTATTGTTTTATACTTATTTATATTAATATTAATATTCACTTAATAATATTCACTTGTTAGCATGTGATTTTGAAGTTAGTGTTAATGCATAGCATCAAATTGAAATAGAGAAATAGCTATATTTTGTGAGTCAAGTAACTACTACAATGAAATTATTACTATAGGCAAAAAATAGGTTTAAGGTTTAATAGGGTTAATTTTTTTTCTTTTTTCTGTGAGCTCAAAAATGTAATGCTTGTTTATGATAATGATGACATCACCACAGTCCACCGTTGGTTTTATTTATTTATTTATTTATTTATTTAAATTGTTATTATTCTTGATACATTTTATGTATCATTTTGTGCTTTATTGGATTATATGCGTAGTAATAATTGTCTGCTATTTTTGTTTGAATTGTCAATAAAAAAAAGAGAGAAGCACCATTGGTTTCACTGGGTGGCGCATGTAAGCTTATTTACGTCCCCCTGTTGTGGTGGGCGTGTTCTTAAGAAATGGCAGCTACTGAAGATTTTAGTGTACGGTCTTCATACCGGAATGGATTATTTCAAAATTTAAAAAGTCTCATTGAAAAGATTTAATTACAACTGTTAACGTTTTCAAAACATTTCATAGTTTGCGTAATTTTATGAATCGTCTGAGAGATTGCCTGTTTGAGACACGGAAGCGAAACTTTACATTTTGTCAAAATTTTAATGAAACGTAATGAATGCTCTTAAAATAGCCTAGCCCCGAAAATCCACTGGATTCGTCTGCGTCACGTTTTTGATGCGTCCTTAGCTCGGCGTCAAAGTACACTGGAAGCGTCTCAGACGCGTTTCAGCAGCGGGGCGTTGGTGACTTCTTTTAGTCTCCACATGGTGTTTATTTTGAAAATCTACCGGATCCTATGCCGTTCTTTGTCTGACTTCTTGCCCGGTACGATGTGTGCTCTTTGCTGCTTGACGTGGCAAGCGGTGAAAATAGACCTGCTACCTATTCTCTGCGGAGCGGCGCGGAGAGACGATTCTGGGACGCGCCGCTTCCAATGCTGGTGGACTTATATGGCGAGTGGATAATGCCACGGATAACCTACCGACGTCGACTGTCGTGTACTTTTACGTGACAGAAGGGGTACGCCGCACCACAGACTCGTAACAACGACGTGTGACTCCAACGTCGCACAGACTTAGAGCATTGACTATGGTCGCGATTAGCTCCGGCATCCGCGACGCTGACTTTCCGCGCCGTAGACGGATCCAGTGGACACGCAACGACAGTAATCAATCTTATGAAGGAGAGGAGAGAAGGGTAAAGGTTGCATGCATAGGTGAGTAGATGTTAGTTTGATTTTTAGGTTTATGTCCACTCTGCGATATGTTCAGATTAATTAGGCTATTTATTTAGCCTAGTATCTGCTGAAATGCAGAAAAACGCAGAGTTAGGGTTATTTTATATTGTAATAATTTATAAGTTATAACCTGGTTTCATTGAGTGATATCTGAGAGGAATTGGATTTATAGAACTGCTTAGCTCAAGGGTCTGGTACCTTTTTTGACCAAAGACCCATTTTTTAATTTCTTTTTTTTTTATTTATGATTAATGCATTTTTCCAAAAGAGCCTCAGTAAAAGAAATATATAATAATATTATTAAAGACTTGCTTTTTTTCAGTGAAATTTCAACAGTATTAGGCTAATTATTAGGTCAATAGACAACTAAAAACAAACAAATATTTATCAGACAAAGTTTCAATATTAATTGTAAGGGCTTTCACAGTGAGGTGAGTTATGAACTTGAGCATAGTTCCTCATACTTACAGTAGGCTAATTACAGTTTCAGAGTAGCTACTTACATCTACTGTGTTTATGTGAATACTGGACTTGGCATTTTGATGTATTCATTTGGCCATTTAGGTGCGCAACCGAAAAGCTAATCAAATCATCGATCTCCTAACTGGCACGGTAGGCTACTGTGTGTTGTAACGTAACGGCGGCGTAATGGCGACCATCAGTAAACGTTATGGATATATACATTAGGCTATACAAACAATATTTAATATATTTTATTAAGCTGTTCTTGTCTTTACTCAAATCGAAATTAGATCAAAGGGAAGAGTGCTCTTAAAAATCACGAGGGAACGATTTGACCAATGATTTTGGCAAACGTAATAGACTCGCTGTTTTTGCTGATGCTGAATCGTCTTTTAGCATACAATACATTCATTACAAATGTAACTAAGTTCTAGTGCTATGTTACATAGTTATATAGCCTAGTACTATGTGTTTTATGTGTAAAAAAGTACTAATCATAAGGGAACCACACTTTGTCAAATGGTGCTATGTAGAACCATAATAGGTGCCATAGAGCTCATTAACCACCCCAGAGAACCGCTGAAGAACCAAACTGGGCTTGACAGGTTCTTATGGTAGTGGTGCAATACAACACCATGACCACCGCAAAGAACCGCCGAAGAACCTTTTTTTTGTATAGGGTAATGTATTATTTATGAACATTTAATGAATTTAGCAAAAAAAATTATTTATGAATCATTTTCACAATTTCAAATTAAATATGAAGAACAATTATTCTGTTTATCACTAGTGTGCTTTAATGTTTAACCATTGTGTTTGTTTTGAAATGCTTTTATTTTGTAAAATAAATTTTCATTAAAAAACTCATGCGTGCATATAGCCCTACAACTTACTTTCGCATTCTCTGTAAAACAGGTCGCATCGCTTCCGGTCCAGGTCTTTTGTATGTGCTTCATGAAATTTTTTTGCGGTTTTACTCAAGATAACTTAAAAGGAGCGAACAAAGATTAGCATAACCAATATCCCTCACATGTGCAGATTGATATTTAAACGTTTTATATTTTTTATTCTTCACAGTAACGTTTAGATATTTAAATGTAAAACGCCAATAACAAAGTGAACTAGGTAGGTTAGCTGATTACCTTGGGTGCTTCTCATTTCTTATTTGTGCATCCTCGTTTCCTTTCCTTGCGTCTCAGCTCCACCCCCTGTAGGACGCGAGGGAAGGAAGCGAGGAAAGGAAAGGAGGACAGAGGAATCGAATAAAAGCTTTTTTATATACATTGGAGTACTTGATCACTCGAGCGTCACTCCACAGTGTCATCAGCAGCGCTAAAAGGATCTGCCCTTATGATGTTGAAGTTTGGTTATTTAATAAATTCATAATAAATAATAATAAAGATAGGCTATACTGTTGAAATATTTGAGATGTGTGGTTTATATAAACTGCAAAGGTAAAGTATAAATTAAAATGATTGTGACCGATGTGAAGGGGGGAGGAGAATTGACACGTGCGTCACGTTTAGTCAGTAGGCTTGTTTGAGATGAGCAAATTCTGCGCAGAATCGATCACCGGTGATCAGCGCGAGATGCATGCCGGTTAGAAATGTGTCCGAGAACGGTCCGCCTGGCTCTGATGTCATGCCGACGTATGTCAAAAAACTCGCGAGCGCAAGGCGGAAGGGTCGGATTCTGCAGTCGCGCGCAGTTGCTCTCCACCGACTGCGCTGATCAAAAGCATGATGGGAAACGACTTGCTGACGACACAGCTTAATGCTCATTGGTTTAAACAACAGTGATGAAGGTAAATTCTATATTCATTAAGCTAAATTCTCCAAATCAAGGCCATGTTTTATTTTTTATTTTTTTTATTTTTTCAAATTGAAACTGATATTGTGAATCTCTTAAACGGGTTAAAAATAAGAAAGCTATAGTCAGTAACTCAAATATACTAAGCCTACTCTAAAATGTTCAAGTGAAAAATAGCTCTCATTTTATAGATGATGAAGTTTGTAAGTCTGTCTATTTAAGCTAAACTTATTTTGATTTATTTATTTATTTTATTATTAATTTTATTCTGATGTTTATTTATTTGTCGCTGTATAATAGGCCTATTTGTTTCACGAATTGTGGTGCTTGTAGGTAGGCTATGTTTGTAACTTGCATTCTAATAAAAAAGTAAAATAAATAAAAATAAAAGAACAACAGATGAATTGTTCTCTTTTAAAATGTTTGATTTTAAAACTGATATCATGTCTTATGTGTATACATATGGGTGAATAAACTCTCTGACAGTGCCATATGGGTTATATTTCATTTTTGTTAAAACAATAGGCTATATAAAAACACGTCTGTATTAAAGAAAAAGATTGATAAACACATATTTGGAATGTAATTAAATAACAAGTACTTTGGGTGTCTTGTTCATTATATTTATTTTTATATAAAAGCAACAGAACTTAAATCACATCCAGTTTATTAGCAACACGTGCACGAGCGTGAATCCCGTTAATCCCGCGATATCCGCCTTTGATCTCACAGGTGTCTGATTCACTGCGAGAACCAAAATCTGTCCGGCTTTATTGCGCTTTTTTCACTCCTCCCCTCACTGCAGCCGCCTACTCTCGACTACATTGCAGGCGAGGCGAGGCGCATCTCAAACAAGCCTAGTATAACAGTTCCGCGTAGGATGCACCTGTGTATCCTCGCTTATGACTCCTCAGGAAGCCTCCTCACTCCTCGACCCTCGACTCCTCACGGTGCAATTAGAGAATTGAGATGTCCTTCAAGATGGCTGAGCTCGATCGGTTTCCGGGTCATAGGAGGGAGGACGGAGGAGCGAGGAGACGAGGAGGGATATTGAGAAGCACCCCTTAAATATCCATAGATAGCGTAGTTAGTTCTTACGGCCGTTAACACTTTCTCTGACAAGCGGATGCGATGAGACCCGTTTTCCGGTTTGGTCACGTGACGCACGGCATAAAGCCTATTCTAATACGCAGACAAAACGCTGTTGTGGACGGAAATCGTATTCGTTTTAATTCTCCGTTTTTAAACGAAAGCGCAGTAGTGTGGACGGGGCCTTAGAACATTGCTTTAGAAAACCATCTTTTCCTAAGCATAGTTTTATCACATGACAGTAAACTTTAAGCTTGATTCTTTAATTTGTTTGTGATTATTGAACAAATTAAGAAGGTTATATTTCTGTTGGATTTAAATAAAAAAAAAAGGAAAAAAGTAATTTCAAGTGTTATTCAGAATGTTCTGCAAACTCTTGAAGAAAATGGCTCATGCAGTTGTTGTGATATTTTTATGCCATCTGATTGGTAAGTTGTGAATTTATTTTTGTACATAGTAAAAATGTAGTGTTTAAATGTACAGTATTCAGTAGGCCATCATCCGATAACAGATCTTTAAATCGAATCAGTTATTTTACACTGCAACCACCTTTGATGTAGCCTATACTTTCTCAAAAACATTTCCCTGGAACAGAGCTTTTAAGTACTTTTTGGTTAGCCAGGAAATACAATATTTTTTTCCCCTTTTCTTGAATTTTGTTTCAATACTGCATTAAATGTGGGACTAGATCATTTGAAATGTCTCAGTGTGACTGATAATGTGGTCTCGTCTCCACAGAGGTTAACCTAAAGCTAATAAAGATTCTGAGTAAGGGATAATGTAGGGTAGACTGTGCAGTTGAGACACCTTAAATAACTTGCGTGTGCATCAAAGCACAAGTTGTGATTTTTGCTGTGCACATGCATATTAGTATCCTTCCTCTTGGATGCATCTCAAAAAAAAATTTTTTTCTAAAATAAGACAATCATCACAAACATTATTCTATGTCCTAAAGACTGGCATATTTCATGATATTGTGTCATGCAAGGTCATTGCAAAATCTAGAGAAATGTGTGAGGTGGCCAGCGGGGTAAGTTGAGACGCGTGTATCAACTGTACACCCGATAGAGTTCTATTAAACACACTGTTTAGTTCAGTGTTCTAATAACAGCTTATCCGCCATAATTAGCCAACATACGTCGCAAAGGAAAATAAAATTTGATATTTGTGATATTTAAACGATGTATTATTAATGAATATATTAAATATATTGTTCCTGTTTTATAGATTTTAAACTGTGCTAAGTTAAATAAAATGTATGAATTTATTTGTCTTTATTTATTAAAATTGCAATGAGCGGTTAGTTACCTTTACATCATTAAAAATGGGTTTCTCAACTGTACTACATATGGGTACAGTTGAGACAAAATAACACCTTATTTTTATGAGCTATTATGGAAAATATTGGGTAATATATGGGTGTTATTGATTGATATTATCTTAGTCTACAAGCTAATGAAATGTCATGTGGAAATTCACTTCTTTTCAGTATCTATTTTTGTGTGAAAAATCAAAACGCAAAGAGGTATCATACCTATATATATATATATATATATATATATATATATGAAGAGTTCAGATGCAAAAGCCTCTAAGTGCCATTTGAAATTTTCTTCTAAAATGGTACTTTTTATCAAGCTTATATATTTAAGTTCAGTCCCTTTTCAGGATCCAAAATACCGTGTGTTCCTCAATAAGGTGCGAACTCGCTAGGTCCATTTATGCAAATTCCCATTGTTAGCTCACGTCTCCATTTGAAGGAGGTTTTTTATCTTGGTCCAGTATTTAAGGAAATGTTGCAAAGGGCTCAGGGATATTTGTTGTAAGATCATCCCGTAATGCTGAGTTTATGCATCTTTTTTCAGAGCATTTGATGTTTTGTATTGATTATCTTTAAATTGCTTATGAGGCATTGACCTGACTAATAATTAGTGTTACATTTGGATCTTCTCTCCAGTTAGTTCATAAACAAACACAGTGATGTTTAAAAGAAAGTGCACCCTCTTTGAATCCTATGATTTTATGTATTAGGACATATAAAAAAAATTAATCTGGTCCTTAGTAGGTCTTAAAATGAGGTAAATACAACTAGATGAACAACACCACATGACATATTACTCCATGTCTTTATTTATTTAACAAAAACTAGGCCAAAATGGAAAAGCCATGTGTGGAAAAACTAAATACACCCCATGATTTAATAGCTTGTAGAACCACATTTAGCCGCGGTAAGTAGAAGGAATAGTTTTCTGTATGAGAGTATCAGTCTCTCACATCATTATGGATGAATTTTGGCCCACTTTTCTCCATTAAGTTGCTTCAGTTCATTAAGGTTTGCATTTGGCATTTGTTTATACACAGTTCTCTAAAGGTCCTGCCATAGCATTTTAGCATTTTAAATTGCTAAAAATCCTAAAGTAGCCTATCCTTGTTTTTGAATAAATCAAATAGTAGAATACATTTCAGAGAATGTCTCAATCTTTTCCTCTGGCCATATAGTATTTTTAAATGATTTATATTTTTAAACCGATAGGCCTTATTGTGCATTATTTGCGTGAACAAATTATGTCATGACAATCTGCTAATATTAAGATCTTCATGTGGAGGGACTGTCCTTTTCAAGTGGGGAATTGCAAGAAATAAATCACAGCTTGACAAACCATGTTTTTTTTTTTTTTTTTTTTTTTTTTTGCAGTTTGATTACCATTTGTATAACCAGAATTTTACTGCAAATATGGTTAAACTGTGGTTAGTGTAGCAAAAGTCATGTTAAATTCGTGGTTACTATACAGACAAATATAACTAAGGGTTGTTTTGTCTGCAGCTCGCTCTAAACCTATTATAAAACAATGTGAAAATGTATCTGCAAAATTATTTCTGCAACTTTACAGTAGTTAATGATTTCCTTCAGCATACAGTATTTTGAGTGATGAACGAATCTGCGGAGAATTCACTTTGTCAGCGGAAGAGTGTGCACATGTGCGTCTCCTCCACGAAATAACCATATATGGAGCTTACAACGCTTTTAGCCGACTATGCATCCTCATCTGCATATTCTTTGCATATCCATCCACGTGATGTCATGTTCAACGATATTAGGAAAATATGAGATACGTACATGTGCCGTCACATTAAATTGCTAAAAATCATTAAGTAGCCTCTCCTTGCCTTGTTTTTGAATAAATCAATCAAATAGTATAGAATACATTTCAGAGAATGTCTCAATCTTTTCCTTTGGCCAAATAGTATTTTTAATTGATTTATATTTTTAATGGAAACCGATAGGCCTTATTGTGCATTATTTGCGTGAACAAATTATGTCATGACAATCTGCTATTATTAAGCAATCCTAGCAGTAGTTAAAATATTAAAGCCCAGAACGCCACTGGAAAAGTGTTCAAAAGCATTGCAAACAACAAATTTATATTTGTTAGAATTTAAAAAAATTGTAACTTCTCAGAAATTCTTTCATGTAATTTAAGTGCTTAACTGCATAATGGCATATAATCTAAATGTGAAGGCCTATATCAAATGTAAAACATAAAACCTCATTCTTTTATTTATTTAATATGTTATTGTGAACATGCACTATATTTATGATTAGGACTGAATCATGAATTAAACTGGAGATTTATGGTTTTCCTTCATCTTCCGTTAGATAAGATAGCCTACAGCAGTCAGCAGATAGAGTTGTGGTTAGATTTTCTAACTCCACCCATTAGGCCTAAATTACATTGCTCCTCCTCGCTGGAGCTTTAGTGAGGAGAAGCTACATGTAAGCTCCACTCATTTGCTCTGCAGTGAACACCTTCTCCTAATGCTGGTTTAATCTAAGCCCTGTCTGTGAAACCAGGCCTGAAATTGGTGTAACATATAAAATAGTTTTTAGAATTATTCTGTTTTAGATAATAAAAATGAAAAAATTACAGCAAAGTGCCATAATGAACCAACCAAATGAGAACTTAATGTTTGATGATTAACAGTGTCTGTTGTTCTGCAGGAGTGTTTGGTGCTGATGCAGATGAAGTGAAGACTGTGCTAGCGAAGGAGGGAGATTCGGTCACTCTAAACTCTAATCTAAACCCTGATTTTACTGAAGGACAGAGATATAACTTAGAGTGGTTATTTACAGGTGTAGTAATAGCTACAATCGATACAAGCCAGCAGATCTCGTATGATAGTGCTGAGAGATTCAGAGACCGACTGCAGCTGGATCATCAGACTGGATCTCTGACCATCAAGAACATGAAAACCACAGACTCTGGGCTTTATCGACTAGAGATGACTGAAAAACAACTTTTGAGGAAGTCCTTTAGTGTTACTGTCTATGGTGAGTAGAGAATTCAAATTTATTCATTATTTTACAACAGGATTTATAGGTTGTGCTAGTTTCTCACTTATGCCTCTAACCCTCCTCAAAAGCATAATTTTCCCCCCAGTTTTTTATTATTATATGTTATTTGTTAGTTTTGCTGTATATTTTTGTATATATATTATTAAATATTTTCATTTATAATGCTTCAAAATTGTCCCGTTTCTATTGGCAGCGCTGATAATCGTCACAGAGCGAAAAGTTAAAAGTTAAACTATTTTGAACTTTGACCGCGGCGTGCGCGCGAGCAAGTCAATGGTGCGCACCGCTGCGCTTGCGCTTTGGTCGACGCAGCAACAAAACGTCTTCGCGCGGCGCAAGCCATTGAAATAAATGTCTTTCATAGCGCAGCGCATACCGCGTCCTGTGTTTGAGTCCCATTACATCTCTGAAAACATACAAATAAAGATAATTTCAGATGTTAACTGTCACCGTCCCGGTATCGGGACGCCTAACTTTACTTCACTATATTTCTATTAAATCCTAATCTAATTATGACAAATTATATATCGTTGGAAAGGTCTAAGACTTCTAAATAGATATTCTCCTGTTCCGTGGTAAAAACTATGTAGGAAGAGTAATTGATGAATTTATGACAAGAGTGCACCTCAAAAATCTGCATCATAACAGGAGTTTTGACCTTTGTCACAAAAAGTCGATGCCCCCACTTTTAATCATTGAAACTTCTGTTTTTATGCTAAAAGTTCATAATAAAACATATAATCTAGTATTTTTCAATAAAAAATAAAAAATGATAGTATAATATTATCCTCTAAAAATGATCATATTTATATTTATTATCCTCTAAAATATAATATTATTTTTTATCGCCTTTTTTATAATATCACATATTTTAGTAGTTATCATAAATTAGGTATCATTTGAAAGCTTATAAACTCAGAATTCATCGTGTGAAAACTGTATTATAATTGAACGTTGCGTTACCATAGAAACGGTACTTATTTTATCAGGCTCCTCCCCTTTTGGGCGTCATTATATTTCATAATTTATAATCAAAACCTTTTCTAATCTTGACAAAACTGATATTGTCAGAAAGGTCAGAGTTTCAAGGTTCCAAATTTTGTGACAGAATTAATATTTGGACAGAAATTTATTAATTTGTTAAGGCAAAATGTATACAACTAAATTCAATGGAATTTAATGGCACCCGGTGGCTATTTTTGGTACTACGCCTAAACAAAATCTCATGGGAACTTCAATTTTTGTGATATCAACTTCAAATTTGGAACATAACTTGATAAGATTTATGGCTTTGATTTTATAGAAATTTTAGAGTAAAAATATTTTGTAAAATATATATTTTATAAAAAATAAAAAATATATAGTACAGTATATTTGATTTAATGTAAATTTAAACTTCCATAACTTTTTCATACTTTCATTTTTTGAAGTGTTTTCACTTCAGCAATATTCTGCTGAGTGTTTTCTTTAAAACAAGACCTAACTTGGGTATATATATCCCAAAGCATTCTTAAATTACAACCATTTAAGTTTGAATAGTGCATTTTAAAGGGTTAGTGCACCCAAAAATGAAAATTAAGTCATATTTACTCACCCCCATGCTGTACCAACCCCGTAAGACCTTCGTTCATCTTCGGAACACAAATGAAGATATTTTTGATTAAATTTGAGAGCTGTATAACTACCACATGGACTGCCTCTTGACGGCCCAGAAAGTCAATGAAGAAAATGTTTAAATATCCCAAGTGACTACCGTGGCTCAACTATAAGTTTATCAAGCGACGAGAATACTTTTTGTGCGAAAAAACAAACAAAAATAACGACTTTATTCGACTATTCCTTTCCTTCCTTGTTGGCCTGAAACGAGACTTCAATACGATTTTCACGACGCATGCGCGAGAATTGCGATCTCCTTCAACTACTTCAGTTCAATTCTCACGCATGCGTCGTGGAAATCTAAGGAAATCTCGTTTCAGGCCAACAAGGAAGAAAAGGAATAGTCGAATAAAGTCGTTATTTTTGTTTGTTTTTTCGCACAAAAAGTATTCTCGTCGCTTGATAAACATATAGTTGAGCCACGGTTGTCACTTGGGATATTTAAACATTTTCTTCATTGACTTTCTGGGCCGTCAAGAGGCAGTCCTTTAGGAGCCAATGTGGTAGTTATACAGCTCTCAAATTTAATCAAAAATATCTTCATTTGTGTTCCGAAGATGAACGAAGGTCTTACGGGGTTGGTACAGCATGGGGGTGAGTAATTAATGACTTGATTTTAATTTTTGGGTGAACTAACCCTTTAACCCCCATTCTCAAAAAGGGGGTTAATTGCTATCTGGAGCATTAGGATCACTAGACGAGGGCTTAAAAGAAGATTTTTGTGAAGACCTCAAATTTGACCAAAATTGACATATTTCCCTTTTTGCCATTTCGTAACAAGGGTCACAATTTGTCAGTTTTGTATACTCAGTGATTCTTATGTATGCTTTTTTTGTGTGCATATTTTCCAGCTCCTCTGCCCATTCCTGTCATTACCAGATACTGTCCTTCATCATCATCAGGATCAGGATCATTGCTGTGTACAGTGATGAATGTGTCAAGGGCGACTCTGTCCTGGTATAAAGGAATGAGTGTATTGACCAACATCAGTGTGTCTGATCTCAGCATCAGTCTCTCTCTACATCTGGATGTGGAATATCAGGATAAAAACACCTACAGCTGTGTGATCAACAATCCCATCAGCAACCAGACCACACATCTGGACATCATCACTCAACTCTGCAGTCACACACATGCAAGTACAACAGGTTCAGGTAAGCAGGGATTTTAGCATTACTGAGCTGGAATGGATCTCTCATTTAGCAGCTTAGCTCGCTTCTTTACCTAACAGCATGCATCAATGCAGAAACTAACTTTTACAACTGAAACAAACCTGCAAATCAGCACATCTGTCAACTTTGTTCTATGCTGGTTCTGTTGATATAAGATATGGACCAGTTTGTCACAATGATCCATTCTAAGCTGTTTATGAAACAGATCTTGTTTGAAATTGAAGGTTCTGTTTCACTGAATATTTTTCCTTCTCCTCAGACAACATCGTCTCTTGTGGCTCTGCAGAAGCTGTGATCCGATTGGTCGTCTCTGCTCTGATGGGCGTGGCTGCAGTGGCTGCTGTGGTTGTTCTCATCTTTGACATCAGATCCAGAAAAGTTGAACACGAGAGGAGAAACTAGACAAAATCATCAGACTTTGATGAATCTGATATTTCAAAACAAGAATAGACTGTCTCTCTAGTTTCTCTTCTTTTCTGAATATTTCTTTTAATGTCTGAAAGTTTCCTTGCAAACATTGAACATAATTTCAGTACACAATGGCATTTTAGAGATACTGCTTTACATGTTTTTTAAAGTTGTAAATAAAACAGATTATTGGAGAATGTTTACAAGTATTATTTCAGTCTTTCTATATCAAAATGTCATGTTTTATTCAACGTGTTACTTACTGTTTCCTTTGTAATTATTTGTGGAATTTACTAGTGATTTGTGTGTACAATTGTTTCTACACCGATGATTGCGGGCCACAACCTAATGCTCTTTGACTTTCTTAGTTTGTGTAAACCTACTTGAGGTTCAGAGTATTTTTTCCCCACATTAATTTCCCACATTAAAGGAGTAGTTAACTTTTATAAAAACTTTTGCTGATAATTTACTCACCCCCATGCCATCCAAGATGTCCATGTCTTTCTTTCTTCAGTCGAAAAGAAATTAAGGTTTTTGATGAAAACATTCCAGCATTTTTCTCCATATAATGGACTTCAATGGGGTCCAAATGGTTCAAGGTTCAAAAGACAGTTTCAGTGCAGCTTCAAAGGGTTTTAAACGACACCAGACGATGAATAAGGGTCTTATCTAGCAAAACGATCGCTCATTTCAAAAATAAATAAAAAAAGTTTAAGTTTTATAAGCACAAATGCTCGCCTTGCTATGTTCTGAGATGCGCGTTTGTGACTCACCTGTTCGATCGCGTTCAAAATGAACAAGACACTTTTCTCGAGTCATGACTCGAAGGTTCCTAGATAAGACCCTTATTCATCGTCTGGTGTCGTTTAAAGCCCTTTGAAGCTGCACTGAAACTCTCATTTGGACCTTGAACCGTTTGGTTCCAAATTAAGTCCATTATATGGAGAAAATCCTGGAAAGTTTTCATCAAAAACCTTAATTTCTTTTCGACTGAAGAAAGAAAGACGTGGACATCTTGGATGATATGGGGGTAAGTAAATTATCAGCAAAAGTTTTTTTTTTAAAGTGAACTACTCCTTTAATGTCTCTTTTTTTATTAGAAGAATGAAAGTGAAATGTGACAACATGCCCATAGGTGGAGCATTGTATCGCGATCATATAACAGATTGAAATGCTTAAAAACAGCATAAAAATATACAAGACAAACTAAAATATGTTGTCAATAAAATAAAATTATTAACTTTTTCACATAAAATAATGGCTTTTTAAATAATTAAAAAAAAACAGATTTTTCAATTTGACAACACCCCACAAAACAGGTATATAACATAGCACAAAACATAATAATTAATAATAATTTCTGAACATCATTCTCAGTTTATTCACCTTTTTTCTCTCAAAACAATTCATAAAAGTTTCCATTGTGAATTACATCACGAACATCATAGAATGTCATAGTTTTAATAGGGGAAAATTGTAAAGCAGTCTGACAACTGGGATTTAAACCTGTTGGTGTCTTCTGCTGTTAGATCAGCATTAAAAAACTATATCAACTGTTAAATAACATATAAGATTAAAATAATATCAGATTTGTCTCATTTTAAATAAACACAAAAAACTTCAAATACATTTCTAAAAAGTTAGAAATGTACTTTTGCTGTGGTTAAATAAATGTTCAGTGATACAGTATCTTCCATATATTTCTGAATTTTGATGCATTTCTTTCTCTAAATAGTGTTGATATGGCAGCTATTTAAAATTAATATTTTGCTAACAGATAAAATAAAATAAAAAATTGTGGTGGGGTCAGTTAAAATAATTGCAGGAGCAGGTGGACTGTCTAAACTGTGTGTGTGTGTGTGTGTGTGTGTGTGTGTGTGTGTGTGTGTGTGTGTGTGTGTGTGTGTGTGTGTGTGTGTGTGTGTGTGTGTGTGTGTGTGTGTGTGTGTGTGTGTGTGTGTGTGTGTGTGTGTGTGTGTGTGTGTGTGTGTGTGTGTGTGTGTGCATATAGCCTCTGCAGGAGACAGTGATGCTATCATAGCCTACTGTCTATGGATCTTATCGTCCAGCTCAGTTCAGTTATTTTTTCATTGGCTGTAGAGGTGAAGACAACACCAACTCCCATAATTCGACACTCGTCCTATCTGTCGTCATCAAGTTTTGCCTTTTTTTAAAATAAGCGACTTCTAGTGGCAAAACCAGCAAAACGTATAGTAGCCTATTAGGTAAATAATTCTAGATGGAGTATGGAGGAAGCTTACAGAGGACGCTTGAGCAAGAAAGCACTGCAGGAGCATCCTATTTTCCTCGAAAACCTGAGACGCATAAATTCTCCAAAAATAAATATTAAATGTCAAAACTGCTTCTAAAATGTAGGCTTGGAAAAACTATTTAGTAAGTAGGCTACCATGTAATAAAATGGAAGTATTTACTATATTATTATACAGTATAGCTTTAAAATAATTATTTAGAATTAACATAAATGTCCTATTATTATTATTATTATTATTATTATTAACATATCTCTAAAAAAAATATTTGAGAAATATACTCTTCTTCACCAATAGTCTCATGGGGTTAAATTCACCAACAAACACACACGCACAAAATGAAACCATCACTGAACTATGACACTATTTTCTTATCGAAACAAATGTTGCATTATTTTCCTGTTATCACTGTAAGCTGCTTTGAAACAATCAAAAATGCGATAGGCTAAATAAAGGTGACCACTTCACTTGAGAAACGAAGCTATACGAAACTCTGAATAACCAATGCTTTGCAAAATGATGTTTCGAAGCGTTTAAAACACCACACACTGTGGTGGTGACACTTGCTGGTCAGAACAGTATAAATGGAGCGTAAAGTAAACATTGAAAGAAGCACATTTTACAAACCATTTGCAAATAAATACCAAGCAAATATTATCAGTAAGACAAGTCTTAATACAATCCAAGAAGTCAAAATAGCATTAAAAACATAATAAACAACAAAAACTTCTGGTTCAAAACAAAACATGCACAAAGGTTTCTATGCGTCTATCGATCATGCCCTCTCTGTTTTCATGTATGCTTTTCACCGAAATGTATCGAATTAAAACCATGTTTAAAACAAGACTATACACTGGGAACCAAGGAAGTAGGTGGCAGTAGCTACGTGTTTATAATCCGGAACCACCACCACCACCGAAGAAAGCCTTAACCTCTCAGGTGGGAAAGACTATGAAGAAAAAGGGAAATGATAGGTTAAATTACTGGGTGGAATCTAAGGGGCTTCTGAATAGTTATCAGAGTGGTTTTAGAAGAGGTAGAGGTACAATGGACCCTGTGGTATGTTTGGAAGATGTTATAAGGAGAGCTCAAGTAAATAGAGAATCAGTGGTGGTAGTATTCTTTGATATCGAAAAAGCGTATGATATGTGGACAGATGGCCTATTAATCAGGATGCAGCAAATGGGGATTGGGGGCAGAATGCTCCAGTGGATTAAAGCCTTTTTGTCTGAAAGAAGTTTTAGGGTTAAAATAAATGGGGAATTAAGTGCTAAATATATAACTGAGAATGGTACTCCCCAGGGGAGTATTGTTAGCCCCATATTTTTTGATATAATGATAGATCAGATATTTAAAAATGTGCAGGGGCATGATGGAGTAGCTTTGTTTGCTGATGATGGAGCCATGTGGAAGAAAGGGAGGAATTTGGACTTCATAGTAAAGAAAATGCAGATTGCAGTAAATGAAGTCCAGAAATGGGCAGTACAGTGGGGATTTAGGATTTCAGTAGAGAAAACAAAAGTTATGTTTTCTAGGGGGAACATAAGACCTGAATTTAAAATTCACATGTCAGGAAGAGAGCTGGAAAGAGCAGAGGTTTTTAAGTATTTGGGTGTATGGTTTGATAGGAAGTTGACATGGGCATTTCATATACAGAAGATGGTGGAAAGGTGTAAGAAAATTCTAAATGTAATGAGATGCTTATGTGGGGTTGAGTGGGGTGCCTCTGGGTCAGCATTGAGAACAATTTACACTAATGAGATCAGTGTTTGATTATAGATGTGTAGTGTATGGGTCAGCTTCCAAGTCATTATTATACAAACTTGATGTATTGCAAAACCAGGCCTTGAGAATATGTAGTGGAGCTGTCAAGACATCTCCAGTGGTAGCCATCCAAGTGGAGGTGGGGGAGATGCCCTTGTATTTGAGAAGAGATCAACTTGCCCTAGTGTACTGGGCTAATCTTATGGGACATAATCATGATCATATTGCACAGCCAGTATTGAGAAACTGTCAAGAGCGACTGAAAGAGGGAGTTAAAAGCTTTGGATGGTCTATCAAACAAAAAGTTGAGAATATGGGGTTAAGTGAACTTAATATCTGTACTTCAGTACCATACTCTACAGTTCCCCCTTCGACTTTTGAGGAACTAAAAGTGGATCTAGGATTACTTGAAGAAAAGCAGGAGAAGGAAGTGGACAAATGTAGAGTTCATAGATATATAGAAGAATATTACAGACAGGACATAATCATATTTACAGATGCTTCGAAAAGAACTGATAAAAGGGTGGGAGTGGCGCATGTGGTGCCTGAATTGGGGCTGGCTGTAGGTAAAAGGCTAAATGATGATTTGGCTGTAGGCTATTTACGGCAGAGCTTGTAGCTATATGGTTCGCCCTGTTATGGGTAGAAAGTAATAGGGGTAATAGAAAAATAGTTATAGCATCTGACTCTAGTTCTGCTATTTTAAGTATCAAGAACTCACACTCAGGATCTAGGAAAGACATTCTTTTAGAAATTTTACAGCTAGCAAGTGGATTGAAAAAGGCGGGATTAAAATTTTCCTTTTTATGGGTTCCAGCCCACATAGGGGTGGAGGGGAATGAGTTGGCTGATATATATACCAAGAAAGCAGCAGGGAAAGACAACATTGATATTGACATAAAATATAGTAAAGCAGAGGTTAAGAGTATTATTAAATCAAAAATTTATGAAAAATGCCAGTTCTGTTGGGATAATGAATCATATGGGAGACATCTATTTAGGATACAGCCTAAAGTTAAAAAGGTTGCAGGTCCAACTAGACCTAGACATGAGGAAGTGGTACTGTCCAGGTTGAGAATTGGGCATACCAGACTTAATAGTACATTATTTTTAATGAAAAAACATGTTGATGGTAACTGTGGGCATTGTATAAGACCTACCCCTGAAACAGTGGAGCATGTTTTGATTCATTGTACTAAATATTATCAAGATAGGCAGAGGTTTATTGCTCAAGTAGAAGCCAATGAAATTATATTTGAATACAGTAAGATTTTACAAAGAAATGCTGAGAAGATTTTTAATTTTTTGTTTTTGTTTTTAAAAAGTACAGGGCTTTTAAAAAGAATTTAATTATGTAGAAAATATATATCTCCTGCTATACACTCCAGTCCAGCGGTGGCGGTAATACAATTAATTGTTGTCAACCGCCAGTTAAACTGAAGAAGAAGAAGAAGAAGAAGAAGAAGACCACCACCGAAGAAGAAAGAAGAGCCGTGTGCATTTTACTGTCTATGCCATGGCATTTAGTTGCGAATAGTTTTCTGTATTCAATAATCAGGTAAAATGATCTACTGCTTTCGCGGAGGCTTAAACCTTGTAATAAATAAATAGGTTAATCTCAGTCAGTAATGTTATAATTTTTTTGTTAGTAACGTTAATTTCTTTTGTCCGTTTCTCCCTCTAGTCGGGTGTGGTTCTGAAACGACAGGCAGATAACGGTAGCCTACATCAGAGAAGAGTTCGTCGAATAATCTCCACGAATCATCATCATCATAAAATCTAATTTAATCAACTGTAAGAAATGAAGAACGTCATAGTGATAATTTTATTGTCATTTTTAATGAACGGTAAGTGATCTATTTTCAACACTTTCGTTTTAGTTTTCTAAACCGGAAACTGAAGGCGCAGTGTTTTTTAACTCTCAGCTAACAATATTTGGTTCGCACTCCCAGAACGTTTTTAGATTTGTTTGTGGTTAGCCTGGAAAGTTTTTTTTACGGAAATAAAATGTTAGTTGTTGGGTTGTACAAAGTCAAACAACGGTCTCAGAAAGTCCAAACATCTTTACTCCGATATCATTATCCTGCTATACCTACGTCAGTAGGCTAATCTATTCTATTCTTTTCTATATCTATTCTATTCAGCACACCACGACACGGTATAGTATTATAAGCGGAAAGATAAATATATTTATAATCAGTAGGGTTGTGGTAAGATGCCCCCCGGGGCAAAAGATGTAGTTTACATTGAATTGAATTGAATTGAATTGCCTTTTATTGTCATTGCCTATAACAACGAGATTTAAATTGCACTTCCCATGGTGGTAACACATAATATGACAAAAAAAAAAAAAAAAAAAAACATCAGTACATAAATACATAAAATATAGATAAAAGATAAAAGCTCAAATATAATCATTAAAAATGCAGAGCAATCTAGATGCTCATGAGTTCAGGTATTTTATAGCATTTGGATAAAAACTGTTCAAAAGTCTTGAGGTGCGACCCCGGAGAGATCTGTAGCGCCTTCCAGATGGCAGCAAAATAAAGAGGCCTCGACCTGGATGGGAACAGTCTGGGAAATATTTTTTGCCCGCTGCCTGCATCTGGTTTGATATATGTCCACAAGTGAGGGGAGCTGTGTGTGAATAATATTTTGTGCTGATTTCCTAACTCTATCCAGCGATTTTTTTTTTTTTTTTTTTTTTTCAGCAGCAGTGCAGCTACCAAACCACACCAGAATATCATGTGAGATAATGCTTTGGACAGAACAGTTGTAAAATGATAAAAGTAATTTCTGGGAGAGGTTAATTTTATTGAGTGACCTGAGAAAGTACAGTCGCTGCTGAGCTTTCTTCACAAGAGCTGTAGTGTTGGTTTTCCAAGTAATGTCCTGTGAAATGTATGTCCCAAGGAATTTGAAGTCTTCAACCCTCTCCACCATTTCTCCATTAATGTAGACGGGGGCAAGGTCAGACTTCTTCCTGCGGAAGTCTACCACCACCTCTTTGGTCTTAGAGGCGTTGAGAGACAGGTTGTTGGTGGAGCACCAGGCAGAAAGTTCTCTCAGAATTTCATCTCTGTATGCGGACTCATCATTGTTGTGAATAAGTCCAACTACAGTGGTGTCATCTGCAAATTTGATAATAGTATTGCTTTCATGGACTGGGGTGCAGTCATGAGTGTATAAAATGTAAAGTAGGGGGCTCAACACACAACCCTGGGGTGCCCCAGTGCTGAGTGTGAGAACGGAGGAAAGTTGCGAGCCCAGACGAACTGACTGGGGACGATCCGTAAGGTCAGACTGCCCTAAGTGGGGGTAAGATGAGACCTTATAGGCCCCTCTGATATTACTATAAACATGATCCAGAGTATTATCACCTCTGGTTGGACATTTTACATGCTGATGAAATTTGGGAAGTACAGTACACAGGTTAGCATGGTTAAAGTCCCCTGCCACAATAAAGATGCCATCCGGGTGGGTGGATTGCAGTCTATTCATACTAGTTTGCAAGATATCTATAGGTACAATTACATAATCGCTTTCATTATGACATTTAACGTTACATTTATACATGTGGCAGATAATTTTATCCAAAGCGACTTACATTGCAGTTCAACGTACAAATTTACATTCTTATCAGTTCTTGCTTTTCCTGGGAATCGAACCCAGGACCTTGGTGTTGCAAGCACCAACACTTTACTGTTTGAGCATAGAATGACATGTCTTCAATTAACATATCAGCATTTAAATAAGTTAATAATTTTCCTGTATATTTGTCATAGTAGAATAATTGTACCTCTTTTACTGGAATTCTGCTTTGTCTCTCACTGGTTATTGAATTATCAACAACTAAATTGTCAATTTTAAATAGAATATTTTATTTAGCATTTTACATATGACTCTAAAAAATATATAAATATTAATAAGAATTATATCAAAAGTAATTTATAAATTCTGTAAAAGTGTGTCCAGGGAGGCCAACTTAAACCTGTTGGGGTCATCTTACCCCTCTTTAAATATTTTACATTTTGTGCTAAAACAACTAAATTAGCACATGTTTCTAGTTATTTCCTATATTAACACATTGGCGGATGTGTCATCATCCTACACATCTAAATATGTTCATTTAAAACAAATCCACACTGTCCTTAAGGGGGCCTACGCTATTATATAAACCATTTCTTGTTTTTATTTCTTCTTTAATTAATACAACTAATCTGAGCAAATCAACCATCTCATGGAAGATTAAATAAGATTCAATTTCGCCATTAATATGTAAGATTTGCTAGATTGCATTGGATAACCCAGACTTACATATCTTTAGAAACAAATAACAATGATTTAAACACAAATAACAATGATTTAAACACAATCTATTATTTTTTAAATATCAAATTTATTCATAGACATTAAAAATAAATAAACAATTGTTGTACTTGAAGTAGGATATCATTACATTTATTTTTTTTTTACCTCTGAATTCGACAGTTTAGTGTGACGCATGCTTTTTTTAGTCTGTGACTTCTCAATTAACATAATTTTCTCTTCAATTAGGCGTGTCAAATCTCACCGAAATCATATTTACTCTCATATCTATATTAATTACAAGCAATTCTAGACCTTATACTAAAGTGGGGCTGTGAGGGCGAGACTTACTGTTTTCAATGACATCAGCTGTATAAAGCTCCTAGATCACTTCTGATTTTTCACAGCTTATATTGTCTTGATTTTTTTTTTTTTTTTGTCTACTGAAATTTCTGGGAAAGATATTTTGGCAGTATTTCATCTGGAGAATAATCCAAAAGAAGATCAAATAACAGGACAGCCCACTGAAGAGATGTATTGTGCACGGATTTAATATACGGTTACAAAACATGCGTTATACGTCTCAACTATTTAATGTTCCAAAACTGACTTTTCAACTGAATACTCGCCAAGTACTTCCAACTCACAAGCTGTTTGAGACTGAGAAACAGCTTGTGCGCTCCATTATATAGATCAGGGGTGTGCACGCTTTTGTGGGAATTACTAATGATGTGCAATACAAGTACTATTCAACCAGAGTGAATGAGATGAGTGAGTGAGAGGAGGCGAGTTTGTCTCATTTCGTCAGAGAGAAGATAGTGAAACCATAGAGCTGGTAAGTCCCTCCCATCCGTTAAACTCCAAGTGGACCTCTAGGTGGAAAAAGCGTCAATGCAAGTGAATGAGAGAAAATAATTATTTTCTGATCCCGTTTGAATTGTGCCATGAATGTAACATATGTTGTCTGTGAGTTTTTTTATATAATTTCTCATGTAACGAATTTGACAGTGTAAAGACTCTGGGTCGGTTCTGATCAGGGGGGAATTTGCATATCATAATTAATAATTGATAATTAATAATTATTCATACAGATTTGGATCAGACCGGTCTTACATGTTAATTTATTAATTTTACCCATATGCATACATGTGCATCCCCGCAATCAACCACAAATTAATTGTTATTGATTGCAAGGACCACGTTTTACAAGACAGGCAAAATCAATTAGCTCAATTAAGTTATATAGCTTGTGAAAACAAATTCTGTGGCCACTAGAATCTGCCTTCCCTGCTCTATAACCAAACACCCTCTTAGGTATTTATAGTTCTGTAAAGCGTGTAGCTTTAAATTGACATTTCATTGACCCGTATTATGAGCAAGACAATCAATCAAGGTAAGCATATTTTATATTTAATAAAGTTTCTACTTAAGCGTTACTACGTTACAATGATACAGGTATTTACAAACATTAAAACACAACTAAGACGACGCAGAGCGTTTAGACAATGGATACGCGCAAGTTAAGTGAGTTGGAGAGAGAGAGAGAGTGAGAGAGAGAGTGAGTTGTGAGAGAGAGAGAGTTACGTTCATCAAAACAGTCAGTTAACCTTTCTGAACACCACGAAAACACTTTCTTAACGCTTCTTAGAAGCTCTAAAAGAAGGTATACTTGCAGGGCACAATTGGGTCTGTGTGAGTCGTGGGCTCGTTGCACGTGTCGGCTAGAGGTGCGCCGTGAAGCGTGGCCGCGGCGTGTTTGCGCGGCCCGTTCCGGCTCGTTCATGGCTGCTTTGTTCCGTGGGGAGTCACGTGGCGTTCGTCGGCATTTAGCGCCAGTGTTTGAAAGGCTGAGAGTCTTTGAGGTGACGTTACCCGAGGAGATAGTTCGGCAAAGTCCACTTCCTTTCCTGGAAGACGAACTTGGTAGTCCACTTGAGGAAAAGATGAAACTTTTAGACGAACAAAAGGAAAGATCCATCGTTGGATCAGAGTCCCGTGAGGTTTACATGTTGAGCGCTGGAAAGTTCAGAAGAGCGCGAGGGCGGACCTGCGTTCTCACATTTATCACCTTGGAGAAATCCATCCCCTTCCTGTTGGCTTGAGCCAATCGGAGAGTGGATGTTGCACGCGGGAAGCTTTCTTTTGTTCCTCAGCGCGCGCTTCTCGTGGAAGGGGGTGTGTTAAATGAGGGTTTTGCAATAGCAATTTGATCTTCATTGGCAGTACAACGAATTAAAAATACACTTTACTTTACATCTCTATGCATATTCGAGTGTTTCATTCAATAAGCATTCTAGAGATATCAAGGAACATTATGTTATATCAAAGGAATATACACTTATGTTTCAAATGCATGACGAAGGTATTTTTAATTCCTATTTAAACTGTGACCAAACAAAGTTATTTCACTGTGACATGGGGAAGACACATATACATAAAAACCATTGAAAACATTTTGTTGAATGTTTTTAAACACCAAAAGTCCTTCTCTTTGTTCAAAAACATTCCACACATTCCGATGTGTGGGGGAAGTGAAAGG